AGATTTGGCTCGTGCCAAGAATCAGAAAAAACAACAAGAAATGCAAAAGAAGAAGAATGCCAGTGAGAAGACTGGTTTATCTTTACAAGAAAGAAAACATAGGTAGGTAATAAGGATATGTTAAAATAGAAGGTATCAGCATTTTACTTGTATAAGTAAATTTAAGATGTGAATTAAACTTTCCCTTTATATGAAATCCTCTGATATTCACAAAGTAAACATAAACCAATGGAATACAATGATAAAATGCATGTTTTATATTACTGTTGTGATACTGAAGTTTGCTAATATTAACAATTTTGTGTAAGTACTAGTCATTGATGTCACAATAAAAAGGGATTGATAGGTTATATCAGTACTAATATTATGTCAAAAATTGTCCCTAGTGTATACACATACATGACATGATACACTTTAATTATTCGTAGACTATAATTCAACATGTCACAGACCAGACACATGATGATTTATTGCATGTTTAATGCCTACTTTTACTTAAATGAGTTAAAAATGATGTCTAACATTACTCTATTATTCCTTGGCATTGGTGCAGTTTTTATTTACTCATGTGTTAATAATAAGAAAGCTTGAAATAAACCTGAAACTGATATATAATTTATTAAAATTGGAGTATTTCTAGCTCTGGAGTTAGGATTCGATGCTACGAATTGAAACTCCAGAGTTCCAGTTTCATATAGATTTTGAAATAAATGTGAGGTAGTGCATATGCACTTGCATTGATTGTCCATTCTGATATTTACATAATCTTTGACTGAGCTTTTATGACACAATATTTATTTTTCTGATTTACATGCAAATCAATTAAAATGTGTACCAACTAATGTAAAGACCCCCTTGATCTTTAGACACCTTAGTTTTTACAGCTTTGCTTAACACAGTGTGGCATTTTTAAAATGATTATGGTTCATAAATGCACACAACACTATTGCCAGACTGCACTCAGTTATGCTAATTAGCATAGTTTTAAGGAGATACTTATTGGATACAAGTAACCTGTATAACCTTTTTTAATTTAATATCATTGGTGATAGTAGTGTTAGCTCACTTTTTTGATTAATCTCAAATGTTTCAGGGATGCTGAATTGATGAGGGAAAAACAACGAAGAAAGGAGGAGCAATCAGGTGGAAGTAATAATCAAAAGCAAGCTGTAAATTAATTGAATACACTATAGATAAGGGATCATTGACTGCGTCATTACAATGAACAATACAAATTTGAGCTTTTGTACCAAGAGCTAAAATTGTTCATGTGATATAAGTGATCATTTAATTTACAAATTTTTACTAAAATTTTCAGTTCCAACTAAAGCCTAATTCAATAAATTACCCAATAACAAGCTGTGTTTTCTTTGACTTTAATGTGATATATATTTGTACCAGGTAGGCTCAAACGGGTAAGATCTGATAATCTAAAACCAGGAGTGTTAAGATTAAGAATATTATAAAAAGGAATGGTCACAATTCAGCTAGATAGCATTTATGAGAAACAACATTAATTTTGACTGAATAGGTCTCTATGTATATTATTAACTATCCATTTTTTGTACAATAAAATATAAAAGTACAAAAAGGTATTTTTTATTTGTACCTATAAAAGGGAAAAAATTAGAAGTACTACCTGCTCTATGAGGTCTAGTGAACGAGAATCGCTTTGATTGAATATCAATTCAAGATGGTGGGACTGTTTATTTTGTAACTAAGTTCACAATTGTAGGTATATGCACGTATCTTTAATATCAACGATCATCGACTAAAACTAAAATACTAAACCTGTTTTAGTTTTGATGTATGAATACTTTTTTTTAATTAACAGCGACTGTATAACTTCACCTATAAAATAACACCAAGTATTTTGCCTTAACAATATTCTCATCGAAATCAGGGGACCGTTCTGTGGAACATTTGTGATCCCCCAACTGCAATGAGAGTTGTTTAGCCAATCCATAATACAATCTGTTTTATTTAATTTATAGTTTCATATTTGCAGTCGTTTTCATTTGAAATGATTGATTTATATAAATATAAATGTCGATCTATGCCCTTGACCGGTTATATTTAAATGTGAAAGCGTATGACATTCATCATTTCTTGGTATTATATCTACGACCTTCGTAGAATTTCACCATATCGTCGTCCTAGAGGTCGAATTATCAGTCTATTCAACAAAAAAAAAAACAGGCAAAGCTTCGTTTACCTGTGTGCGATAGTTAACCTTCTTCATCTTGATGATAAATGCGGGTTTTTTATATAAGTGTGTTGAGGTGAAAATATCAATCTCGATAAATAAATAGCTAAATGTTGACTCGTTATAATAGTTTTTAGCTAAAAATTTAATACTTAAAATGTCTCTGTTTAGTCGGAGAAAATGAAATCAAATCCATGTGCAAATTAGCATTCACTCCATGACCTACTTTTAGTGGAATCTGATCATCGAGACTCCCCAACTATTATTAGTTACCCCTCGACTAATATTTTAAGAATACAAGGGATTTCGGTAAATGGATTATACTGATAAATATAAGATTTTTTTTACTAACAGTTTAATTAAAACGGTTTGAAAAAAATACAATAGGTAAGCATAATACGTAAAAACTACTCTGTAATCTGAATTCCAACCTGTTCTCAAATTAAGTAAAATTTTAATATGTAAAATAAGTAATTAAGTCTAATTTTCAGAAGCCTGTCGACATCTTTAAAACATATAAGTACAGAACCACTAACATAAATATTGTGCAACTGAATGTGGTATGTGTACGTTTGATATAATCAAACATTAATTAATAAGCACGGGTACAAATCTTGCATAAATAAAGTAGCTCTTATCAAATGATAAAACCCTTATTCACATTTAAAAAGAATACTCAAAATTATGGTAGTGTGAATATTCTGATCTGCCTAATTTTACTTTTAAATGACAGGAACAAAACAAATTAAAAATATAATGATTAGTTACATTACTGATTTTTTATTCTACTTTAATAAAACTAAGTAGTACATAGGAGCTTGTGTGACCAGTACCAGTACCTACCGCAATTAAAGGCCCATCATTGAAATTTCGTGCATAAATACTTACATTTCTGTTCCAACTACTACAGATAATACCGATAGATATGCCGTGTATTAAAACGCGGGTCTTAATTGCCGCAGGTACCTTACTGTTGTAGGTGGTAAATACAGCAGTCAGGGGCAGGTATCGTGGGTGTTGTATTTGAATTTCTCAAGTAATGTCGCCCTCTCCTACCATTACTATATGGAACCAGCCACGTGCCGCAAGCCAAGAACGAATCTAGCTTTGGTGCCGGCGGGTGAGTTAATTTTGATAATATTAGATACAAACTACTATTATGTATATTTAATTAAATTTTAAAAGTACTCAAATAAAATCTATAATGGGACAAAAATATATAAAAACATTTAATATAGTCCAAAGTCCTGGACCCAGCCGCAAGCACAGTATTAAAGTTGGTGTTAATCTAACGGCAGATGATATTTTAATGTACCTAAATATTTAAGACCTTTTGAGTGCCGTAAAAGGAAGATCAAGCGTTTCGCGGAAGTATAATGTTAATAGGTTGCGCTTCAGCCATCTTCATCAAATTGATAATACGTCAAGCGCAATGGCAATCCAATACAGACCGTGGCTGCCGACACTACGTTTCGTGAGACCACTTACATGTTGAATGTTATATCATAATTATGTCCTAACGTGACCGACGAGGAATGACGCATTTTCAGTCGGATATAAACAGACCCTAAAAGTGTAGTGTTTTCACATAACCCATCTAAATTACCAGAATTTCATTCATGCCGTGGGTAAACCTTATTTTATAATAATGTTAACAGAGAGACGCTTTTCAAACGCAATTTTAACATAAAAATAAAATTTCTTAATATCTCATCCTATTCTGGATGCTCCTTGACTGCCTTCTTTATTTTTAATGACAAACAAATATACTCATAGAGTTTTGAAAATCTTAGGGCAGCGTTTGACTTTCGAAACTTTGGTATAAAAGCCTGGTAACTGTAATAGAGTATAGATAGTGCATTATAACTTAATTCCTGTTTAATTGAAATACAATATTTAACTTATAAACAAGATAGAAATGAAGAATTTATAATGCATCACTTCACATATATTTAATCTAACAATATTTTAAGACTTAGTTACATCCTTATGCTCATGACCAGTACTCCGAATAACAAACGAAAATGAAAACAAAAAAAAAAATAGATATACAATGCGTCATGTCTCCGCCCCTTAAACAAACACATCACCTTATATTATCGAAGGAAATGACTTGTGATAGTACAAGTTAACACTAATCTGTTCAAATAAACAATATATGACAACTTAAAATAATTCTAGGTATATTTTACAGATAGCCATTAAAAATATTATGAATAGAGAATGATGCAAACAGGTCAATTTTATAAATTGCAAGGATTATACCAAATAGCAGTTCATAACACGTCAATCCAATAATTACCTAAGACAATTATTGCTACTTTGACCCCCCTCTAATTAAAAGTCAAGAACCAAAAAGAAAAAAAAAATTCTTTAGATTCTTGTATGTAGGTATTAATAAATTTAGATTGGTAGGTGATATTATGATATTATATAGGGTGATATTATGATATTATATAGGGTGATATTATGTATTGAGACCTCTCCTTCTCTCCCCATAATCATCTTGACCATAACATGTAAGGCGCCTTACTTACTTTAAATTATTATAAGAAAATAGCGTCCATACTATTTTTAATATAATAGAATAAAAAGTATTTAGTTATGGTAATGGAATATTATCTTTGACATTTTTCTATTATATAATCATCCTATCATTTAATGTATTATGTATTTTTATTAAGTGGAAAATATTAATATCAATATTTTCAATTCATTTTGTATTTTAGGGTAGAATGAGCAATCTGGGTAGTCTGTGAATTTCAGTATAAGGAATTCATCATTAATTTCTTGTGTAAATATCTTTCACAGTAATCAGGCATTCAACTAAACTTTTATTTTCCTACAACTATGTCATTCGAATTGTAATAGTTTAAGTTATTAAATAACAAAATATTTAACAGAAAGTAACAGTACAATTAACTTATGAAAAATAATTGGTTATTTTGTGTGTATTACATACATTATAATTACCTCAATTATTTAAAAATCATTCAGTATATTTTTAAAGCATTATTCTTTAATATGACATGTATTCTACTAAGAACTATGCATTACCGTTCAATAATCTATTTTTTTCAAAGTCATCTCTCTGACTATACAACTCTTTGACTAAGTTTTGAATAAATGGATGTTGGAATTTCCCTTCAGTAGCTGTGAAAAATTCCTGTAGCTTTCTTGGTTTGTTCTCACGTTTCTCATATTCAAATGCTTGTAGTATCATATCATACCTATCCAAGTCTTTTGCGAATACTGCTTCTGGTGAGCTTTGTTTTTCATACTCCTGAAAATATTTGATAAAAAATCTAGTTACGACATTTTCGATCCAAAAACAGAAAATTCAAACAGCTAAGAACATTGTAACCACTATTTCTTAGTTATTGAAATAATGAATAGAGACTATGATAAAATATGTATAACTAAGTTTAAGTAGGTATTTTGTAAGTGCTATTAAGTTTAGGGGTTTATTATCAAAAGTGAAAACAAGTTCAAGTATATGGTAGAAAGATATGACTTTGTTATCAAACCAATGTTTTTTATCTTTTATTACTATTGATAAAAGTAACGAGAATTTCAAATCCATGTTAATATATCTATACAAAATTATAAAGAGGAGAATTTTTATTGTTTGCAAGGCTCTGAAATTACTAAACTGATTTTAAAAAAATATTTCACCTACAGGCAACTACATAATAGGAGGTGAACATAATGTATATTTATGTATCCAGTAAAACAGCAAATAAAGGGATGAAAATGGCAATGGAAATTTGTATTGGGAATTAAAATATTACCATAGTAACCATTATTTACTTTTCAAAATTTCCTTGTAATTATATCAGTATTATTTTCGAGTCTCTGTCAGTATTATTTTTCACTTTTTAAAGTTGGTTCTATTTTTTAAAAAACTTTTATTTCAGTTTTTTGTGATGTTGATATTTTTTATATAATAGGTAGGGCCAAAAATATAAACCGTAGATATATATATATTAAACAAAGAAAAGGAGATTATGTTTATTTGATTAATAAATAAATATTAAACAACATCACATACATTGCACAGATTCCAAGATGAGTAGCTAAAGACCCCGTTAAAAGCTACATAATATGTGTTGGATATAGGTTATAATTTACGCAGTCTGTTGTGGGGAAACAGACTAATTTGAAAGAAATTGGTTAAAAATAGAAGAAATTTATGAACATATCTACTTCTATAAAAAATATACATACTCATTGAACACAGAATATCCTTCTTTGAATGAATTCAAATTACAGTCTTGTTTTTAGCTCAAATAAACGTATAATCTAAATCTATAGGTGATACCTGGTGAAAAGTGTACTTGTTTTGTCATTTCCTACTGATTCGATTTTGATAAAATTTTATTGGGATAATCTCGATCCATTAAGCTGTTGCATAAAAAAAGAATTTTGAAAACTGGTCAACAATTGGCAGGAATATTGATGAACATACATCGCCATCGAATATATAACCTCTTCCTTTTGGAATTTGAAGTCTGTGCAAAGTATTTCTGAATATTAGTTACTAGACGCTGTCCTGCAACTTTGCACACCTAAATTATAGTCCATAACATCCCTTTATGATGTATCTACCCATAGGTGAAAGAATTTTTAAAATCAGTCCAGTTGTTTTCGTGTTTCTTTAATGTAAACATATATACAAACAAACAATCAAATCTATAATATTTATTGTGTTAGTGTAGATGCTTTAATGCCAAATTGTTAAGCCCATATGATGAAACTTAAATGATATAGTTTGAAGCATGAAATAGCTAGTTTTTTGTTAAAATATCTATACTTAGATCTGATCACATGTACAAAGTCATAGATAGAAAGTTACTATTATATTTATTTACAGTTTCAATTATTAACATTTAACAGAATAAATAAAATCAAAAAAATATTTTAATACCTGATAAAGATCATACATCCTATCACCAGCTATGCCAGTGAGTTCTGCTATTTTTTTCATAGCCTCATTTTCTCTGCGATGTTTTTCTTCTGGAGTCACACCACAATGGGGTGTGAGATCACCGACTATGCATTCTGCTAAATCATGGATCAAAGCTGAAATTTGAAAATTTTATTCAATTTAATCTATTAAATATTTTGTATAAAATTAAATTTTCATATAATAATTTTATAAAACATCTGGTTTAAGTGTTACCATAAATTTGTAAGCATCTTTTGTTTAATATCTTGCCAGAATATAAACTATAATGATTAGGTTAATTTATTATAATAAATCTAGTAACATAAAAAAAAAAATAAGTTTCAGCATATAAAAGACATGTTAAACTAATTTAATTTGGGATGCAAAATATAATATTCTTAATAAAAAATGCTTAAAAATTGATCAAATATAATAATGCACAATATATGTTACAAATTTACCGATTTGTAGGCACTTCAAACGATCTAAATCAGTAGGATTATTTTCTTCAGTGAGAAGGAAAGTCATCAAACCCATTCGATACATATGGCCAGCTATAGATTCACATTCGTCGATATCACATATTACCCAACCTGTTCTCTTCACATGCTGTAATTAATAATTTTGATTAGGAACTGAACATAGCAGTTATAAAAAACTATAGAATAGAGAATAAATTTACCTTGAGACGGCCTACAAGTTCTAAAAATTCAATGATTTTCTTGCTGTCAACCGATTGAGACATAGTAAATATTAATTATTGGCTAGGTTTTCAATTAATTACAGTTGCTTTAATTTATTGTAATACTGTTCGTTCGTTCTTTTTCCAGCAAGTTTTTCTTTAAGGCGCCTCTAATCTTTGTAATCGCAAAAATCTTTAATCTTGCCTGCAAAAAGTTACAAAACGTCAAATGATTAGGGATGCTCGTCTAACCGACCTTTTAGAACACTATTCACGACTATCGATATCGATGGTTTGTATCGATTCATTAGAATACTGTCTCTCTCAGCTGAGATTGAATCGTATGCTTAGAAGATCGTATGGAATAATCATAATAATGAAATAGAAACAATGGGAAAATATATATAAAAAATCTTTTTAATCTACAAAATGAGTCAAATTAGAAAAAGTAATACAGTAGAATTTCATTTAACCGGCACTATTAAAAGCCAGAGGGTCCGATTGTTAGAATGTTCGGATTACTGGATAACAGCGACGCAAATCATAATAAATTAAATAAATAATTTTATTCGACAGGTTTTATTGTAACAGAAACATATATCAAAATTAACATGTAATTACATATTTAAAAAATAATCCTTAATGAGGATCTGCTTTTGTGCAACTTGTAGTTGTTTTCATTCGACAGGTTTTATTGTAACAGAAACATATATCAAAATTAACATGTAATTACATATTTAAAAAATAATCCTTAATAAGGATCTGCTTTTGTGCAACTTGTAGTCCTTGTTTAAAAAACGGGTGCGGTGGCGCGGGTGAAGGGTGCCGGGGAGGGTGGAGGGGTTATTGAACGTATCGGTTTATTGATGTGCCGGATTAGTGAGATTCTACTATATATAAAAACGATTTTTGACACAAATTGTTTTCTAAACTTATAAATAAAATTATAAATTATAAGATATAGGTAATTAATTGTTGCTGTTAGTCAGTTTGACTAACAACGAATAGTAACAAAGATAACTTAATTGTTATTGTTTTCATAATTTTTGACCGATGTTATAAACCGATTACAATAAATATTGCTAAGCCATCTGAAATCCATACTATTAAAAAAAAAAATTACATTACAAATGCTACATTTTAAAGCCCTCTATGCTCACATACATTAAGGGTATGTTCCGATATACACTGCGAGCACTGCGTAGTGGTCTTACTGCTGAAAAATCCGTTCCGTTATGGACTGCCAGTACACTGCTACAGTACCCTAGAGGAATTCATGACGTCATAAATTGCCGCCATATTTGTACTGTGAGCACTGGAGATTTCGAGGTAAGGTGCTCGCAGTGCTTTTGATCACGTGTTCAGTCGTAACAGAATCAGAAAATGATAAGTTTCTAAATAAACAAAAAAAAAATACTTACGTTTATTTATAAGATGGATTTAATTGATAAATAATTTTTTTATACAATTTTCCAATTTTCTTTTGAAAAGAGGGAATCTTTATATGTATTTATATTCACCTTGCATTAACAAATTTGAAAATGGCGCCAAAAAATAGGATTAACAGTATACTGGACTGCGTTCCGTTTTAAAAAGTCACCAGTATAACTAGCTATAAAGGAACGGGCTTCCAGTATACTAAATTGACGTCATACTGTTCAGTGGTCGCAGTGTATATCGGAACATACCCCATGTTGGTTTTCATCTTCCTTTGTACTAATAAAAAAGTTATACAGCGTGTTTGGTAATATATGTATAATCCCGAAACATGGCCATACAACTTAGCACAAAGAACTTAATTAATATGTCAAAAAACAATTTCACGTAAATTGAGATTTTCATACAAATATTTGAACAATTTGTTTTCAATTAATATTCTACAACCCTGAAAGCTTATACGTGCCGTCCCGGCGTACTCACTCTCTCTCTCTCTCTCTCACACATTACGTCTCACTCACTCTCGTTTCCTAGAATACACTTTGATTTCGCCGACGCGCGCACTTGACTGCGTATGAGTTTACTTGTAAACAATTTAAGATTAAACAGGTACATACCTAGAGACAGTTCTAATCACTCTCTCAGTTCTCACTTGTCAACATTACCTACACCTTACGTCCACTTTATCAGTCCAAGGTCTCGATATGCCGGCCACCGCATAAAACACACGTCTCCATTCGATTCGACACAGACCGTGTTACTCTCGACGTAAAATCATATCCTCTCTCGATGGAATAGGTTTTCGGCCGGCCTTCCTGTATCACACTATGGAATGATGTATGTAACCGATTCACAAGTGCCGCGAAGCACTGTTAAGAAGGAAGACGTCGAGGGTTTTCAGATCTTCCTGACACGTGGCGCTCGTCATAAAGCCACCGAGCCGCAGCAAGATTACCGTCACAAGCACCAACACACAATATCATCTCGTAATATTAGGCATTTGAGTACGAACTCATTGCACTGACCGCACACAAACACAACACACAGGTAAACAGAACGAGTATGAAAAACAAACCAAAAGTCCCTAAAGAACGAAAACGTAAGTTGACCTTCTAAATTCTGAAAACTCACAAGTACACCGCTGAAAGTCTCCGACGCGACTGAAGCGATGACCAAAACTACATAGATAATTATTACAACTCAAACACCAATGTAGGTACCTAAATCAAAAGTACACCAATTTAGGGTTCCGCGTCATCAAATTCTGTGTTAGGTAACCTACATAACAAAAAATCGTTATTTTATTATTTAATTAAACAATGTCTGATATTCGGATCGGGTTTAATTAAATAAAATACGTTCGTTCACGATAAGCGACGTTTATTAACTGTCATCACACTACATCATCCCCCTTACAATAAAAAAATTATTAAAAAAAATGATAAACCTTAATTACATTTCATTCGTTAGTAACATTTCATCTTTTAAAAATTTTATTCTTTCACTTTAATAATACATTGGATACAAGTGTAATACATTGGAATGTCTAGTCAAAACAATCTTGGGTTATGATAATAACCATTGTGTCAGTATTCTAAGTCACAGAATGAATGATCTTAACAAAAAAAAATATAGAGTTATAAAGTCTAAGCATTTAATCATATCAATCTTAACTTTAAATGTATTTGTTTGTATAAAAAATTATTTTATATAAATATTTAACATATATGTAGTTATATATTTTTATGATATATATTTATTTATATATTTAATGTGAATATTGCTCGAGCAATTATAAACTTATGAAACTACAAATTAAGATAGAGCGCTCTATTTTATCTTATTCTAAGTAAAAAGGTTTTTTAAACATTAACTGCTCAAAGCATGATTTCGTTATAAAAATTTGTTTACACGTTTAAAACAAATATTATTTTTCCTTATATAACTTTGTTCGATTTTTATGTATAATGTCTTGCATGTTACCTTTTTGTATTCTGACATTTGTACCTAGGTCCTCTATTACATTATATGATCCTAAATAAATTGGTTGACTTTTATCATTTGTTTCATTTTTTATCAATACCAAATCATCCTTTTTGTAACTCTGTGGTCTTATTGTTTCGTCATATTTCTGTTTACGTATTTCTTTTTGTTTTATTAAGTTTTCTCTTGCGTGATTATGTGCTATTTTTAACCGGTATTTAAGTTCGCATAAATAATCGTCAACATTATAAATTGGATCTATTGGATGATGTGTTATTGATGATGGTAGATTACATAATTTACCGAAAACGAGTTCATAAGGTGTGTATTCTGTTTCAGTATGTACTGTAGTGTTAAATGCAAAGGACCAATATGGCAGCCATTTTGCCCAGTCATATCTCGACTTTTCTGTTTGTATTCTAAGAAATGATCTTAAATTTTTATGTGTGTTTTCTAAAGAACCAATTGTTTCGCGGTGATATGCTGTCGAATGTAGTTTTCCTATGTTTAATAATTTACAAATTTCTTTCATCGTTGAACTTAAAAATTCTGTACCTCGATCCGAAACAATACAACTCGGGATTCCGTATATTAATACATAATTGTTAACAAATGATTCTGCTACAGAAATTGTATCTTTTGATTTTAACGGAAAAGCAAGTACATATTTAGACATTTCACACTGCATCGTTAGTACATATACATTATCATTTTCATCTTTTGGTAGAGGACCTAGTAAATCTAAATAAATCTTTTCTAACGGTTTATATGATGTCGTTGTAATCTCTAAAGGCTGTTTTACGTTTTTCGAATGTTTCATAACTTGACACTTTTTGCATGTCGTAACAAACTTAATTACGTCTAAATTTAAATTACACCATGTATATTTTCGTTTTATATTATTAATCATACGCCTAATACCTGCGTGTCCACTAGTTGGTAATAAATGATAATCATTAAGTATCTTTTGTCTTTCTTTTTCATCTGTAATTCTTTTAACTTTACTTAATATATTTATTCGTGGGCCCTTCCACGTACTTCTACTACTTATTTCCTTTTTTAGTTCTGTTATCAACGTTAACTTATCTTCTTCTTTTATCATATTTATACTTTTTATATTTAATTTTTCACAAAATTCTTGTAACTGATCAGCAAATTCTGCTCGAGTAAAATGCTGTCTGAAACTTAAATCTATAATTAATATATTCTTACAAGGAACGAAAATTAAAACATTTTTTTCGTTTTTTATTTTATCATATTTTGTATACTTCTTATTTATATTATTTCGAGTTTCGAATATTAAATCGACACTATCTATAGGTTTACGTAATAATTCTGATATTATCGGTATTTCTAAATCATCGCTTGGTTTTCGCAGTATTTCTGATGTTTCGGACGTCCTTCGATCAGAATTACTTTGAGAACTTCCGCTTTTCCTACGTTCTAATTTCCTTCTTTGTTTTCTTGTTAACACATTACAATTTTCCTCGCTAGACATTTTCTTTAATTCGTCTGAAGTTACTACTATTCTACTTAAACTGTCTGCGATTACGTTTGTCGATCCTTTTATATAAACGATATTGTAGTCAAATTCTTCCAATTGTAATCTAAATTTTAATAATCTGCTCTCTGGATCTTTTACTTTAAATAAACTTATTAGTGGTCTATGGTCTGTTTGGATTTCAAATCTTTTTCCTATTAAATAAGGTTTAAAATATTTTACATTCCATACTATGCTCAATAATTCTTTATGAATTGTAGGATAATTTCGTTCTGCTT